TTTAAATTATTAAAACTTCCAATTTGTAGCTATATAATATCATAAGTTGACCTTTTCTCCCTAACATTTAATTTTAATATCTAAAAAAATTTTCACAAAAATAAGAACAGGTACATCCGTTCATTTTTTAAATTTCATAACATAAACAGCGGTGTCCGTTTTATGAGAAGAATATCTTATTAAAAAAATCTTTTAAAATTAATTTTTAAAAGCAAAACATGATGAACTCGCACAATTATTTCAGAAAAACAACCAGGACACGGCTGTTCCTGCTTTAATTAGCAAATTAATAATTAATTATAATTACAGTCAATAAATGCCGATTTAATTAATTGGCATTCAAAAATCACTTAACTTAATGCACAATTTATAAATATCTAATTCGTTACTTCTGGTCTAATATTTTCTCTATATGTGTTAAACAATAAAAATTAATAATTCTAATATCATTTATTTATTACTAGACTAAAAAAAATTTACTAAATTTTAATGAATATTTGTTTGAATAGTACTAAATATTTATTAAATGTAAACATATTTGATATAAGAACCATTAATTTGATTTAAATATCATTTTTTTATTGAATAAATACATTCATTTACCTAAGTAAATGACATTACAAATATTTATTAAAATTTATTAAATTTGTTTTCAATATAATTAATAATTCTATCTATATAATTAGTAATTCTATCTATACTAAAGGATCGCAGGTGGTCGTTATAATTCGAATAAATTGCGCGTCGCGCTCGGTCTGACTCGGTTCGCGTTACATTCTTTGGCGCGGCGGCGCGGCGGCTCGACCGCGATCGGTTCGACTCGGCTCACGTCGTGCCACTTCGACCGCACACTCGTCTCGTGGAACGGTAGACGACCGGATTGGGTATTGGGTCTTGGGTCTGGGAATCTAGCAGAAGCACTGGGAGCTCTGGTTTTCAGTTTGCTGATCGCAGACAGTCGCAGGATTCGAGTGCTCGAGGGAGGATCGTCGTGCGTATTGTGCGTATCGTGCGTGCTGTGAATATACATGGAGACGTAGAGTGTGCGCGCGCGAGAGAGAGAGAGAGAGGGAGACCCACACGGAGGATTCTCGAGATAGGAGAGGCAGAGAGAAAGGAAGGAAGAAAGGAGAAGCACAAAGTCTGCCGTTTGTCGAAGGAGCGTGGCAGGCGAAGCGGAAAGAGAGGTGGCGGGGGAGACTCGTCGCGTTGTATACGTAGTGTGTGTCACACAGTGCCGTCGGAAAGAAAGAGAAGGAGAGAAGTAGAAGGTGGAGGAGGAACGAAGCAGTGATCAGTTCTCTCCCGAGCTGAGGCTAGCGAATACTCTGTTATCTATATCGCGCTAATACTTTATAGCACGCGTTGCTATCGATCGCGTTTGCCATCGCCTCGCCAGTCGCCTCCGACGTTGCTTTTTTTTGTCCTCCGTACCAATCTCCTCGCGTATCTCCGTCGTGCGGTAGGCGGCAGGCGGCAGGCGGCTTGCGGACGCCACGAATTCCGCTTTCCTCTCGCGTCGCGTAATACACCCCTCTACTACTTGTCTCTACTCTCCCTGTATGTCCTTTTCCCCCTCCATTACTCCGTTTTGTCCGTCGCGCTTGTTGTTCCGCCACCTCCTGTCCTCCTCTTCGCCGCGTGTGCGCTTCGCGCGGCGACGGCCACTCTCTTCGAGTTCAGGCAGTTCGAGGTGCCGGCTGCCTTCGCTCGTTCCCGTCTCCCGACGTTCCGTTCCGTGAGAAGCGGGAAGGGAGGAAGACGGCGACTGGCGAGGCGGACAGGCGGCGGTGGAGGTGGTGGTAGCGGGAGGAGTACAGGTGCAGGTGCATGCATATAGACGGCGGTAACGACGACGTACGTGCCGCACGAGCACTGTAAGCACGGCGAATACGTAGAGAGTCGGAGAGCGCGTAGGGGGGGACAAGGGGGGGGAGGAAGGTGAAGAAGAAGTCGACGGAACGGGCGAGGCGAGGAAAGAGGAGACTGGAGAAGCAGAAAGAAGGAGGAAGCAGGAGGAAGCGGTTAGCGGCGGCGGCGGACGGAGAGCGTACACGCGAGTGCGTAGCGGCGGAAAGCGTTAGTCGTGAACGCCAGTGGTCGACGTCTTCGTCCTTTGACTCGTGACTCGTGACTCGTGCACGGTCGAAAGTTTCTTTTGTTTATCGCCGCGCGTGCAGAGTGTCGCACGGATAAATCTCGACGATAGTCTCCTATCAAGCAATCGTGGCAGGATGGACGACACCGCGGGTCCACCGCGAACGTCGGACGTAGCGTCGGCGATGGGAAGTGAGAGCGACGACGCCACCACTACTACCACCACCACCACCACCACCACCACCTCGAAGATGCGGACAGTCGACGACGACGACGCGAGTGCCGCCCCCGCTCCCGCTCCCGCATCTATCATCGACGACGCCGCTGTCGATTCCGTCGAGTGTCGTGACCTGGGCTCGATAAGAACCGCGTCCCCGGAGCCTGCAGCTGCTGCTGCTGCTGCTGCTGCTGCTGCTGCTGCAAAAGCGGGCGTGCGTGGCGGGGCCGGGGCCAACGCGCCCGCCGCGGTCGACAAGGACGAGATCACCGTCTGCATCACGCCGACCACCGGGGGCCAGTTCGAGCTCGCGGTCGACCGCAACGATACCGTGGAGAATCTCAAGAAGATCATCTCCAAGAAGCTGAAGGTCGCCAAGGAGCGCATCTGCCTATTGCATCGCGAGAGGTGAGTGCTAGCCCCTTTTCCTCTTCGCTACCTTCGGAGAATTCTTAGCGCGATTTCGGCGATCTCTGTCGAGAATGTGGAGTTGGAGCAAGGAGAAGGAAAAGGAAGGGAATAACTCATGTGTAAGATCTCTAAAACCTAAGTGATACGTCACGTATCTTTTTACTATTCCAATCCAAGTAATAATAGTTTTAGTTTTTCTTCAAAAATATTCTCTCAATGAAGGTCTTCAACCCAAGTAATTGTAGCTTTAATTCCCTTTCAAAAAATATTCCTTATTTTTCCTCGAAAAATACAGATAATATTTTTCTTAACGTTTTTACTTCTTCAAACATATTCTTATAAAAGGTCTATCTATTCCAGCCCAAATAGTGGCAGAGTTTTTGACATTTTCTGTCAAAAATTAATACTCTTTGAACAAAAATTATTATATCAAATTAAAAATTAAAAATTAGAACCCAAATGTGTGTGCCAAATGTGTCTTTATTCCTAGCAAATTAAAAAGTAAAACCCAAGTGGTACTATCTTTATTATTTACTTAACTCTAACTTACATGTATCGTTCGTGTAAAAGATTTGATATTCGTGTATACTAAAAAAAAGGGACAAGCCTAATAATAATTACTAAATATTGAGTGAAATAATGTCAATCAAATGTTTGGGTATATAATATAACAAAAATAATTTTACTTGTAATAATATTTATTTAGTACAATAATAAATGTGTGTGTTACCAATCGTTTGGTAATAATCACTAAATATTCAGGAAAATAAATTTTTGTTTATTTTTAAACATTTGAAATTATTTCACTCAATGGTAGTTATTACCAGACTCTTTTTCATTGCACTGAAAAAATTGAGTAAAAATAATCGAGCCTAAGTGAAGGAGAGACTAAAAACTTTGAGAAACTAAAATAATTTTAATCAAATGTTTGGTTGAGGATATAGATATCAGTCTCTGTTGAAATTGAAAATATATACTTTGATATAAATATGAATATATATATAATAATATAAATTACATACATATTCATTACAGTTCATTAATATGATATTTAATAATGCAATTTTACGATTTCAATGAAAATTTTCTTATTTTCTCTTAATTATTTTTTAAAAACATGTCTATTTATATTGAAATTATTTTTAACTCAGATTCTAAATTGTCAAACTTTTTGTCATTATTTTAATGTCATTATTTATATGTATATAAAAATATCTGTAATACTTTCATAATTTTTTTATTTTATTGAAAAATACGTGCAATCTTCAATAAAACTAATTAAATACTTTCTAATTTTACTTTACCAAACATTATCTTATTTTTCTAATTATTATCAAACGGTTGATTATTGTTACATTTGATAATATTTACTAAATATTGCAACGATACGCTAAACAAAATACATTTAATAGCTATTACCAGACTTTTTTTCATTGCGCGACTCGATTCTTTTAAGTCGCACTTCGCGTTTAAAATGGAACAAACGGAGAGGAACAGGTGACATGACATGGATAAGCGCAACTAACAAAAACATGTAACAATGAAAGATTGCGGCCCTTCTTATTTTCCATTATACAATTAGCTTCACTCTACTGTTTTTCTCGCCGAAAGCTCAAGTTTATTACATCTTGAGATAAGCTTGGACTCTTGGCAAGAGATAAAAAAAGATAAATGTACGCGTCTGAGAAGGTGTTTGAAGAGAAAGTACGTAGTCGAGAAGAATAGATTGGAGATCTTGATCGCACCTGAGGTTTTAACTGCGTCTTTTTATCACTCCCCGCTCTTAATTCGAGACAATTGCATTCCGACAACAATCACTCGGAAAGAGAAGCTTTATATTGGAAAAATACTAGGAAACGTAGTATAAAATTTAGCTGCATTGTGAAAAGAGTATACAAAATTACATAAACAGCAGAGATAAAACTTTATTTTTATCTGATGAATCAGCAGACTGCAGTACTCAGGACCAGCCTATACTAACTTGCATGGTACAGAAAAATAAATTCCAAAATAACAGAAACGGACAGTGTCTAGATTGTCTAGAATGCGACTTAAATAAAAAAATTAGCAAATTAGGGAAATTTACAAAAAACTTCAAAAGAAGTAAAAAAGTCACACGATTTTCAATTCATGTACACTCGTTTTATTGCTATTCTGTAAGTCCTGAAACACAATAGTTATAGTAAGTCTTGAATAAGGAATCAACCAATTCATAGTCGATTATTCTCTTTATCTTCGATTATGATTGGCCAATATTTTATGACTTAAGCTTACATCTATTGTGTTTCGGAACTAATATTTTACATGTATGTATGTATATATATATATATATACATATATTTTTTTTTTAATAGACTGCAATTTATTTTTCTCCTTTCTTTCCAAAAAGCTTTGAAAAATACGTTTCTTGACCATGGCGGTTTTATCACGTTCTCTACGCGTGGAAATGAAATGAAACGAAACGAAAGGATACGCGTACTCGGTGAACCGCGGCAGAAAGGCACCAGGCTAGGCGTAAAGAAACGTAAGGCACGGGATGAATCACGAGGAATTATCGTCGGTCAGCTGAAACGTTCGTGATATCCGGCGACGTGCACGACGAACGGTGTTTGTCTCTCTCGCGAGCGCGAGCTTCGAGTCGCTATCCCGAGGAGACGTCTCGAAGGTGGAGACGAAGGAGAGAACCGTCGCGACGCCCAGAAGGCCTGGACGCGGCGTGTGTTTCGCTTGTCGCTTCTATTTTTCCCACGAGCGCGACGTGCGTTCGAATCGGACCTCGCCCCATGCTTCGGCTCCGTAAAGAAAGAAGAGTAAGAGTGTGCGAGAGAGAGAAAGAGAGAGGGGAAGAAGGAAAGGCAGAATAGAGACCCGAGAGAGAGCGAACGTGTGCAGACTCGTCCTTCGTGCCGATGCACGCTTTTGGACGCTGAGAAGAGCAGAAGGAAGAGGAAGGAAAGAGAGAAAGAGAAGGACAAAGTGCATGTATACGCCCGGTGTGTACGATATACCGGGTATCTCAGAATTAGCGGTCGATACTTTAGCAAAGAAATTAAAGGAACAAAGCGATTTAATGTTTGTTTGTATCAAAGTAGATAAATTTTTATCTCGATTTAATTTACTTTCTGTCTTCCTCTAGAAATTTCCTTTCAAGAATTAGAAAAAGATAAAGAGAGTAAAGTTAATCTATATGGACGAGGTCATCTGTATGCGAAAAGCGAGCTGATGTATTTTGATTGATAAAGATCAAATTAAAAAAGAAATACGAATTTTGTCATCTTAATTCCTAGATAGACATTCTTATTATCTTTGGATATTATTATTTCGATAAAATTTTGCTTCTAAAGACCTTGAAAAATTCGAGGGAATACGACGAGATACTAAAATGATGATTTTATCATTTCGTTCGTTTATTGTTGTAGATAAAAATATTCTTACAAGCATGTGTCGCAAGTACGTTGAGTGTATCCAGATTTAAAACGGGATTTTCAAATTTAATTGTGATGTTATTCATTTATTAAATACACTCAGGAAGAAAGTTATACGCAAGCAAATTACACTGTTAACTTCATAATGTCAAATCATACTCAATTTGAGTTATTTTCAATTATTTCTATAGATTACCACTGCTTCTACTTAATATGTACTTAATTCAATTAAAACAATAGGGTTAAATTTAACTCAAGAAGATGTATTAAATTAGACTCAATTCATTTATTATTTATTACATATATTAATTACAACTACGTACATTAATATGGATGATATTTGCTTTGAAACTAACTACAGAAATAGATTGATTTATATTTTAATGTACATGGAAGTTAAAAATAACAAAATGTTGTTTAACTTGACAAAAAATTGAATTATCTCTGCTTCTTTGATATCTAACAGTGCGCATGTGATATTTTTTCAATATTTTTATTTATTGGTTATAAAAATTTGACTATAGTGAAATATACATATTTCTGTGAAACATATTTCATTAATTATAAGAGAAAATAAAATAGATGGTTTATTTGTACTAAGAATAAAATTTTATTTTATCGTATTTAAATAAGGATTTATGTCAATGAAATAAACATTATATCTCATGAATAAATTTTTAATATCTTTTTCTCAGTGTATTATCGCTCGCTCGGGATGTTGTTAAATGCTAAAATATATTAAATAGGCAATGATCTGTCAGCCTTTATTATTAAATCGAGATTATCGCTTCTAGGAAATTATTTGAAATTAAACACTCATTTTACAAACTTTTTTGAAAGCAGAGCTTTCGTAGTTTGATTGTGGTGTTATTCATTCATTAAATATTATCGCTCGGAAATGTTAAATGCTGAAATGTTAAATTTGATACGTTTTTCTCTCGGCCCTTATTATTCGAAATTGAACACGCGTTCCAGGAAACTTTTCTGTAGTAGCACACCGTCGCCGTTCTGTTTATCTTATCAGTCACAAAATTTCTCGAGTTTCCCAACGCAGACATCTATTCTTTCTGACCTTTTGTACTTCAGATAGATATTTTATTGTACAATATATACGCGATACCACAATAATTTGATTGCATAAAAGGGAATAAAGGTACGGAAATAGAATGGATGTATAAAATACAAAAATCATACTTTATATTTAAAAAAATTTTCTTCGTACACACATTTTACGTACATTTTATTAAGATACTTTATTAACATACGAATATTTCAAAATAATGTTGCTAATTTAAAAGAGAAATTAAAAGAGAATTTTCTAAAGAAGTAATGAAGTTTCATTATAACTTAAATAAGATTCCATAGAATTTTCGACGAAGGGAAAGGTCCTCCCCGGTTTTGCTTGAATACCGATAACCCCGGAGGCAGCGGTTGCTCCCCGAAGTATCGACCTGTTCTCCTGAAACCGCCTGTATACGTGCTTTCGTAGGCGTCCGTGGGGGCCGCAGCGCGGATCCATCCACCTCCACTACCACCTCCTGCCGCCCGCGTCGCTCCGCTTCGTACGAGTAC